TTTATTATTTCTCTTCTTCTGCTGGGTTTAGGCTGCCTTTGCTGTTCTGCTTCTATTTCCTTTAGGTGTGCTGTTAGATTTTGTATTTGGGATTTTCTTGTTTCTTGAGATAGGCCTGGATTGCAATGTATTTTCCTCTCAGGACTGCCTTCGCTGCATCCCAAAGCGTTTGGATTGTTGTATTTTCATTTTCGTTTGTTTCCATATATTTTTTAATTTCTTCTCGAATTGCCTGGTTGACCCACTCATTCGTTGGTAGGGTGTTCTTTAACCTCCATGCTTTTGGAGGTTTTCCAGACTTTTTTCTGTGGTTGATTTCAAGCTTCATAGCATTGTGGTCTGAAAGTATGCATGGTATGATTTCAATTCTTGTAAACTTATGAAGGGCTGTTTTGTGACCCAGTATATGATCTATCTTGGAGAATGTTCCATGTGCACTCGAGAAGAAAGTATATTCTGTTTCTTTGGGATGCAGAGTTCTAAATATATCTGTCAAGTCCATCTGATCCAATGTCTCATTCAGGGCCCTTGTTTCTTTATTGACCGTGTGTCTAGATGATCTATCCATTTCTGTAAGTGGGGTGTTAAAGTCCCCTGCAATTACCACATTCTTATCAATAAGGTTGCTTGTGTTTATGAGTAATTGTTTTATATATTTGGGCGCTCCAGTATTCGGCGCATAGACATTTATAATTGTTAGCTCTTCCTGATGGATAGACCCTGTCACTATTATATAATGTCCTTCTTCATCTCTTGTTACAGCCTTTAATTGAAAGTCTAGTTTGTCTGATATAAGTATGGCTACTCCAGCTTTCTTTTGGCTTCCAGTAGCATGATAAATAGTTCTCCATCCTCTCACTCTCAATCTAAAGGTGTCCTCAGGTCTAAAATGAGTCTCTTGTAGACAGCAAATAGATGGGTCTTGTTTTTTTATCCATTCTGATACCCTATGTCTTTTGGTTGGCGCATTTAATCCATTTACATTCAGTGTTATTATAGAAAGATATGGGTTTAGAGTCATTGTGATGTCTGTATGTTTTATGCTTGTAGTGATGTCTCTGGTACTTTGTCTCACAGGGTCCCCCTTAGGATCTCTTGTAGGGCTGGTTTAGTGGTGACAAATTCCTTCAGTTTTTGTTTGTTTGGGAAGACCTTTATCTCTCCTTCTAATCTAAATGACAGGCTTGCTGGATAAAGGATTCTCGGCTGCATATTTTTTCTGTCTAGCAAACTGAAAATCTCGTGCCAACTCTTTCTGGCCTGCCAAGTTTCAAAAGAGAGATCAGTCACGAGTCTTATAGGTCTCCCTTTATATGTGAGGGCACGTTTACCCCTTGCTGCTTTCAGAATTTTCTCTTTATCCTTGTATTTTGCCAGTTTCACTATGATATGTCGTGCAGAGGATCGATTCAAGTTACGTCTGAAGGGAGTTCTCTGTGCCTCTTGGATTTCAATGCCTTTTTCCTTCCCCACTTCAGGGAAGTTCTCAGCTATTATTTCTTCAAGTACCCCTTCAGCACCTTTCCCTCTCTCTTCCTCCTCTGGTATACCAATGATGCGTATATTATTTCTTTTTAGTGCATCAGTTAGTTCTCTAATTTTCCCCTCATACTCCTGGATTTTTTTATCTCTCTTTTTCTCAGCTTCCTCTTTTTCCATAACTTTATCTTCTAGTTCACCTATTCTCTCCTCTGCCTCTTCAATCCGAGCTGTGGTGGTTTCCATTTTGTTATGCATTTCATTTAAAGCGTTTTTCAGCTCCTCGTGACTGTTCCTTAGTCCCTTGATCTCTGTAGCAAGAGATTCTCTGCTGTCAGCTATACTGTTTTCAAGCCCAGCGATTAATTTTATGACTATTATTCTAAATTCACTTTCTGTTATATTATTTAAATCCTTTTTGATCAGCTCATTAGCTGTTATTTCCTGGAGATTCTTCTGAGGGGAATTCTTGCGCTTGGTCATTTTGGATAGTCCCTGGCGTGGTGAGGACCTGCAGGGCACTTCCCCTGTGCTGTGGTGTATAACTGGAGTTGGTGGGCGGAGCCGCAGTCAGACCTGATGTCTGCCCCCAGCCCACCGCTGGGGCCACAGTCAGACTGGTGTGTGCCTTCTCTTCCCCTCTCCTAGGGGCGGGATTCACTGTGGGGTGGGGTGGCCTGTCTGGGCTACTTGCACACTGCCAGGCTTGTGATGCTGGGGATCTGGCGTCTTAGCTGGGGTGGGTAGGCAAGGTGCACAGGGGCAGGAGGGGCAGGCTTAGCTTGCTTCTCTTAGGTGATCCACTTCAGGAGGGGCCCTGTGGCAGCAGCAGGGAGTCAGATCCGCTGCCGGAGGTTTGGCTCTGCAGAAGCGCAGAGTTGGGTGTTTGCGCGGAGCGAGCAAGTTCCCTGGCAGGAACTGGTTCTCTTTGGGATTTTGGCTGGGGGATGGGCGGGGAAGATGGCGCTGGCGAGCGCCTTTGTTCCCCACCAAACTGAATTCTGTCGTCCGGGAGCTCAGCAGCTTTCCTTCCCTTTGTCCTCCAGCCTTCCCGCTTTCTGAGCAGAGCTGTTAACTTATGACCTCCCAGCCGCTAAGTCGCGCTTGCTGTCGGAACACAGTCTGTCAGGCCCCTCCGCTTTTTGCAAGCCAGACTTGGGGGCTCTGCTTGGCCGGCGAGCCGCCCCTCCACCCCGGCTCCCTCCCGCCAGTCCGTGGAGCGCGCTCCGCCTCGCCGCCCTTCCTACCCTCTTCCGTGGGCCTCTCGTCTGCGCTTGGCTCCGGCGACTCCGTTCTGCTAATCCTCTGGTGGTTTTCTGGGTTATTTAGGCAGGTATCGGTGGAATCTAAGTGATCAGCAGGACGCGCGGTGAGCCCAGTGTCCTCCTAAGCCGCCATCTTCCTCTCCAACAAGCATTTCTTTAAATTGCGGTTCCTGTTTTATGATAAGTTAAATAGGTGCTTTCCAAGTCTGTACTATGTCCTTTTTTTTTTTTTTTTTTTGAGCCTGCAGTCATTTAAATTTGAACCAACCATAGATGTCTTTTAATCTTTCTAACTGACAAAGAGCAACAGAAAGCTCTCCTCTGCACAAATGGCATTTTACTTTTATTTTTAGGGCTAGTGAGTTTAAATTTTCTGCTGAATTTACTCTCAGAATTGCTCTAATGATCTATTATGTGGTTTGTTATAAAATGGGATAGCTAGTTATCTTGAATTAAAGTTTTAATTTTTTAATAGTTTGATTCATATATATCTTTAATCAGCTATGTTACTAAGGTGTTTAGCTTCATTTTTCCATTTAGCATTCTCAATCTTAGAGTGATTATTGAATTAATTACAAGAGAGAGGAAACTAGCAAAGAGCCCAAGCAAGGGTCTATAACAAGAGTAGTTGATACTTTTGAGGAGAAAAGATACTGGCTGCTACTTCTAAGAACAGTTGCTCACATAGATATTACTGATTAGAACTAGTTCTTAGGATTTATTGACCCACTAAAAACATAGTTTATTCTTGTAAGCAAGAAAAGTGTGACTATAATTCTCTATATGAAAGACTTTCTTCGAAAAATGTAAATAAGGGAATATTTGATGCTATTGCTGAGATTTTGTTTCAACTATTAAATATATTTTGAAATATTGTATAGTAAAGAATGTTTAGTGTGACCATAATGATTCACATTTAATCCTGGCTATTGCATATATATTCTAATTATTTGGGTAATTTGAGTAAATATTTTTTCAAGATAAACATTTTTGCAACTTTCAAATATCTTGCAAGATTGTGCAAAATCACTTTTTGTAAAAAAAAAAAAAAAATGACATCAGAATAATTGCTACAGTAAAATCCAAATCTGTTAGTATGGCATTCAAGACCTGCTGTCTGCCTTTCTAATTTTCTTTCATTGCATCATTGCTCTATGTATGGTCATTTCTCAGTCATCTGATCGTGAATTCATTCATTTTGGCTTAATTATGATTCATTCACAACAAGGACCTGGAAAGATTCACCTTTCCCAAAGCCAGAATTGTGTTTAGAGTTGGCTGTTACTGATTTCCTAGACCAAGCTGCCTTGAGCTTCTTTGGTTGAAAGGGAGACAAAAGGGCTTAGAGCATTGCCTGTTCTACCCTTCCCTTACCAGGTTCACTCCAGGCTTTGCTTCTCTTCTTTAGCCTAGGATACCCAATCAAGACTAATGGACATATCATGAGTTGATTGCAGTTTAAGTGCGATTTTACATGGCCTCCTTCCTACTCTCCCCTTGCCTATTTACTCTCACTGAGAGCTGACTACTATTCCTGTGTTATCTAATACTTTTTGACTCTGCTTTTACGCATATTTTTCCCTACTTGAAATGCCTTTCCTTCCTGTTGAAATTTTACAATCCCTTTATCTCCTCAAAGAGAATTAATCATACCAATCTCCTCTTTACAATATATATTTTATTCTTGTATTTTAATTAGTGATTTTTTTAACCATTTTTCCCATTAAAGTATTTGTTAGTGACCATATGGGTTTACCATAGCAACCTTGTATTGTCTGGAGAGTTTAGACAGTTAATGGTGGTGGTGAATAAGAGACTAAGTGAATTACTGCTAAAAAGATCTCTGGTTTTTTTTTTTTCACTATTAACATTATACTTTTCCAAATGTAAGCTCTTCTATGGGCTTCATCTAAACTGAATTAAGATAAACTATATTCAGTGAATTAAGATAAACGAATCTGGCATTTGTTATAGTGACATACTGAGGAATATATATGTGAACATCTATAAATCATAGGGTTACATTTATAAATATTTCTTGTGTCATATAAATATTTCTCTTTATTTCAAAATGAATGTTTTATTATGTTCCAAGTATCATTAAAATATCCATATTTACAAGCACTTGTTAGAAGTAAAGAATCATTGTTTCTTATCAGTAGACTAGTGTCATAGAGTCTGCTTGTATTTGAATGCATTACTGAATAGAGAACTGTCTGCAAAATGTATTGCTATGACCATATTTTAATCTTTCAGAAACAGATGGGTGAGATGAAACTACAACTTGAAAATGTCATCAAGGAAAATGAAAGGTAAATAAATTAATTTAATTCTTTTATTGTTATCCTAGATAATATTTATTGTTGTTATTTAATATTTTATTCATGTAGTATACTGGTTATGAGTGAAGACTCTGGAGCCTGATTTCCTGTTTCACTCCCAGGTCCATTACTTACTACTTTTGTGACTTTGGACAGTTACTTAACCTTTTTGTGCTTTAGTTTTCTTATCTATAAATTGGAGATAACCTATTTCATAGGGCTGACTGTAAAGGAAAATAGAGTATGTAATAAGTACTTTATACATACTAGCAATCATTAACAGTACAGTTTATAATAATCATGTATGTTCCAAAACATACTGATAAAAACCTTCAATCCACCATCTAGTTAAGAGCTAAAAAGGTTAGCAATACTGGTACATCTACCCATGTTTTCTTGCCCTATCCCATTCCTCTCTTTCCCTCTGCCAGAGAGAACACTTCGTTGAATTTTGTGTTTATCATTCCCTTGGTTTTTAAATTTTGTTATAGGTGTCTGTGTCCCTAACGATAGATTATTTAGTTTTCTGGGGTTTTTTTAAGCTGTATTAAAATTGTATCATTTAGTCTTCTGGGACTTTTTTTTCCCCACTCAGTATCATGCACAAACAAGTACGAGAGTTTCAAGGGATAAAATTTCTGGATCATAGATTACGAAATATTCATTTTTACAGTGTAATGCCAATTTCCAAAGTGGCTGTGCCAATTTACATTCCCACCTGTGATATTTATGAGTTCTTATTGATCTATATCTTTTTATCAGCACTTAGTCTTACCAAGTTTCTTAATTTTTGTTATTTTGAGTCTTAGCTTGTTTTTTACTGTGGTTATAATTTAACATTTCCCTGAATACTAATATGGTTAACCATTTTTCATATGTTTATTTACCCATGTAGTGTTGTTTTCTCATGAAATGCTTTTTCATTTCTTTTTCCCATTTTCTATTTATCTTTTCCTTATTAAATTGTCAAAGCACTTTATATAATCTGTATTCTGAATATTTGTTGGTATGCCAATCTGTGTGAATGCAGTAACAATACTGTAAACCATAACCACTAGAAATTTCAGGAAGGGATTCAATCACTTAACATTTGGTACTAGATCACTAGCTTTAGGATCGTATTTAGGAGCTATGATCCTGAAGTCAGGAATTTTTGGTGCTGCCACCATCTCTGTTGCTACTCCTACAGCATCATTTCCATAAAACTGGAGACTTGACATTGGAAAGTGAGGCACGGGGTATTGACTATAAGTGACACTCATGTCTATCCAGTTTTGCGTGCTGTCTTACCAATAGAAAAATGTTCTCAGCTCTCTTCTGTCTTCCATATCCCCCTCAAGTGCTTCTCACTGGTGATACTTTAATCCCACCCACAGCTCCAGCTATAAGGACCTCTGAGAACTGTAGTTTTGGACTTTCAGCCTCTGTGATAGAGACTGGAATATGGAAAGGAATGGGAATGAATGTTGCCACAGTACCATACAACATGCTAGATGATAGGTATTTTCATAGATATATTCCCAGGTTCTGATATGTTTGATAAACAGAATTTTCTATTTTGTTTTTAATTCTAAGGTAATTGAATCTGTCCATCTTTTTTCTAATGGTTGTTCTTTGTGTCTCTAATAGATCCTCTCTTAGCCTATGATCATAAAGATCCCGTATTTTTGGCTAAAAATATTTAAAGTTTTATTCTACCCCAAGTTTCTTAACTGTAACTTAAAAAAAAAATTTTTTTTTTAATGTTTACTTATTTTTGAGAAGGAGACAGAGCATGCATGGGGGGAAGGGCCGAGAGAGAGGGAGACACAGAATCCGAAGCAGGCTCTAGGCCCTGAGCTGTCAGCACAGAGCCCAACACAGGGCTCGAACTCATGAACCATGAGATCAGGACCTGGGCCTAAGTCGGCCACTTAACCAGCAGAGCCACCCAGGCGCCCCATTAACTTTAACTTTTATTTTATTTTTTTTTAATTTTTTTTAACGTTTATTTATTTTTGAGACAGAGGGAGACAGAGCATGAACAGGGGAGGGGCAGAGAGAGGGGGAGACACAGAATCGGAAACAGGCTCCAGGCTCTGAGCTGTCAGCACAGAGCCCGACGCGAGGCTCGAACTCACGGACCGTGAGATCATGACCTGAGCCGAAGTCTGGCGCTTAACCGACCGAGCCACCCAGGCGCCCCATAACTTTAACTTTTAAAGATCATGCACCTGGGCTGAAATCTGATAGATCTTTTGTTGTTAACTTGTGTAACTAGACCAAAAAGTAAAGAAATGAAAATTTTTTAGTTCCAAATTCATTTAAAGCATGGGCTTTTTAAAAGTTAACTTTCTTTTGTTTGCATTTTGCTAGATTATATAGCACTTTTCTTTTAGTTTTGTTAATTTATTTTAAAGCATGTTGCTCTCAAGAATAATCTAGAACTCCCACAGAATTCGTATGTCTTATGACTATTTTGTCACCTTCTACCTTACATTTTAAAAAATACGTTTTCACTATTTCTCCTCTCTTCTAATTTCTGAAAGCGTCATATGTTTAAGCCAGCAATGTTTGCCAAAGTGTAACATAAATCTTTTAATTGGGTTTTCAGTTTTCCTCATTTGTGTTTTTTCCCATAGAAAAGTTTTTCTAATTTTAACTTTTTATGGTTTACTATTCTTTCTCAAAAAAGTTATTAAATAAGCGATGCTATTTAATCCTTTATTCCTAATAAAGGACATTGCTAAGATTTTTGAATCACCAATGTATGTAGATTAATCTTGTATTTTAATGTACTTGGGATAGACAAGGTGTATTATATGGTTGAGATCATCCTTTTTCCTATATTTGACTCAACATATTTAACTTCCTTTCATGTCCAGGTCTTTTTAAGCTAGTCTTTTAAAAATCTGCCTTCACCTATTTAACAGTAACGTGGTTGTGTCTCATGAATGTATTTATTCCTAGTACAATAGGAAAGTGGGAAAAATAGATTCTGAGCTTATTAAAAAGGCACTTTTAGTAATTTGAAAATGCTATCAAGTTTTAAAGTGAATTTTACTTACGTTTTTAGGGCAACATCTTACTTTCAATTATGTATTGCAATTAAGGGCTGCAAAATCAAGAGAGTTTATCACTTTTAAGGAAAATATTTAAATATTCATACATGGTCAGTTCTGAATAATAGAAGCTGGCAATGACATGGATTGTATAATAGTATGCAATTCTATGTTATTGAGTTTTGGAAACATTTTAATATTTACATTTTTATGTGGATGTATGTTTTCTGGGAATTGACTACAAATAGGAAATAATGAAGTCATTTAAAATCAGGCTAAGAGAGAGGTGAAAAAATATTTTATTTTCCTCCCTTCCATTTTTAAGTCTTCCTTGAAATTTAGTTCATGTTGAGAATATAGTGTTGTTTGTTTTATCCTCCTTTTTTCTCTAATTCCATCTTTTCTCCTCAAAACTTAACAGAGGAAGAAAATTTGGTAAGATAATTAAATGGAGAGATATGTACAGCATTTTAAAAAATTACGTTTTTTAAATACTAATTTTTCTAAATACTAAATACTAATTTTTAAATTTCTAAGTTTCTAAATACTAATTTTTATTATTTGTTATTATTCAGGGCATGGAAGACATCATTTGTTACCTACATAAGAGCCGGTTTTTCTTCTTTCATTCATTTAACTCTGATTTTCTTCCACTGTCATTTTGCTCAGGGGAAATTAACTGCTTCCATAATTTTAAGTGATAAGTCTTTTATTTAAGTATTTTATTTTTAAAGTGATAAGTCTTTTATTAAACTTTTATTCAAACTAGTTTGATTTTCTTTTTGCCAGAGATTGGTCTGGGAATGAATATGTAACCCTACTTTTAACCAGTGAAGTATAAGGGAAAGTCTGTTGTAGAGCTTCTGGGAAAGAATTTTCTCCCTGATAAAAAGAGAGGCAGGCAAGAAGAAAGCTTTACCTCCCTCCTGCTGCATGTTATTTTTAAAAGTGATATGTGAAGCTGGCTGGTATCGCCATTTTTGTAACCATGGGGGTAGATGTGAAGATTGGAAGAAGGGAAAAATGAGAAAACCTTTGATCCTTATTATATTATTGAACTGCTGAAACAAATCTGGAACCACTTACCCTTCCAATTTGATATTAGATAAGGAAATAAAACATTCATTCATTCATTCATTCATTCATTCATTCACTTACAAGTATTTATTGAGTACTTAGTAAGTACCAGGTACTAATCAGGTCAGTACATCAAGTGAATACATCAGTGATAAAACAGACAAAAACACTAACTGATATAGAGACTTAATTGCATTTGTCAGGGATTCACAAACTACATCAGCCTATGGACCAGATTTAGCCTGCTGCCTCTATTTGTAAATAAAAGTTTATTGGCTCACAGCCACACTCATTCATTGTGTCTGTGGCAACTTTTGCTCTGTGCTGGTGGAGGTGAATTGTTGCAACAGAGAGTGAATGGCACACAGAGTCTAAAACATTTACTGTCTGGCCCTTTACAGAAAAAGTTGACTATTCTTTGGTACATGTAGTGATATTTCACTGCAAACTTTCTGTTATCTGGTCTTTAATGCAACAGTCTTTTTTGAAATTTAAAATGGTCTTTGCGTTTTTATTTAGGTGTAAATGTAGCTTTAGAACTTAAAACTTCAACAGGAAGAAATACAAAGTTATTATTTAATAAATTAAAACCAATGATATTGAGCATATTATTTATTTTACTGTTTTTATTTTCTGGTAGTCTGATTTTTATCATTTTTAAGATTATAATTATCAATATGTGATATAGAAGATTTCAATAGCATTATAAAATGGAATTGTTTTTTATGCTTATTTTCATCGATTTGTTCTCATAATTTGACTACTGATAGTTGACTAATAATACATCAGAGGTATGGTTTTAAATTTGATTTCAACTTCCCTAATCATCTCATTCATGAATGTTGACAGTATCCTATGAGCACATGTTAAATG